CTGGCAGCCACGACTTTGATAACAGAATTTTGTTCAAAATTTTCATTCCTGGAAAATACGAATTTATTTTCCATATCCACCTATTTAGCGCGCTATAAGCATAAATTTTTCAAACCAGTCGCAGAAGGAACTATTAAAAATAACAGAAACTAAAATCGAAAAACACTCATGAAGTTACAGATTCCCCAAATTCTGAAACAGCCAATGGAATGAGAATGAATAATTCTTTTTGAAGGGCTTTAGAAAACCTGACACATCTGGTTTGGCTTGTAAGCGCTGTTTAAACAATGATCTCTGCATTATGCTAGATTGTAATTGTTTCTTAAAAATACTTGACATCCGCATTCGCATCCGCGGATGTCAAAAATTCCACATTCGCAACATCCCTAGTCATAGCCATTACCCCAACCGTAACCACATTATCCATCATGATTATAGGTATCATAACCATAAAGGGCTGATTTCTCGTAGTCAACAATGCCGGTGTTGCTAGACGCGGAACAAGATTCGGAAAATGTGTAATACCGTAGGATATTTGCGCAGAACTTCTTTCACTATTACTAAATTCTTAAAACTCAACACCAGATCATAATCAAATATGTACATCAAATTAAAGGTACTAACAATAATATAAATTCTTTCTCATTAATTACGAAATTTTGTTAAAAATGTCATTTTATGAAAAATATACAATTTTTTGTTCGTTTTTTAGTATTTTTGGATTAAATATTTAAAAAAGCATATAAGTTATGTACTTCAGCTGAAATATAAATTAATTGGGTTTAGGTTGTCATCATAAGTTTTTGAATCGGTTATGTAGTTCATACGGGGTTAATATTTAAAAGAGTCAAAACATTTTAATTTAACCTCATATATCTTCTTTATATTTTTGCACCAAATAATTTTGGTACAGTTAAAATCAACGTGAGAAGTTCTATCAAGTCACATGGCTTTTGCATAGCTAAATGGTTCATATTCTACACTTTTGTCAAAACGTTGGCTGTGAACAATAGTATATTTTTTAACGTCTGGCAACACGTTCTTACTCGCACTTCAGATATCAGCTGACCATGGTTATAGTGGAAAACCAAAATTCAATTGGTCCCTATGGCTATGGTTATTGCTATGGCTTTATGGTGTGGCGCCACTAATCGAATACAGTGTTGGCAGTAAGGTTGCTTGGAACCAAGGATGCATTGCAACGTTAATTTTAGCGTTTACCAAAAAAAGCAATCGTTTCTGTTGAAACGATTCAGTTTTTTATCGTTTAGGTAATTATCAAAATAATTCTATTTTGGTTTTTAACGAAAAGAAATTCAATCGTTAATGCTAAAGCTGTAGCATGCATTTAGGTGCTAGGTGTTAATAGTGAACGGGCAATGGCATACAACAACTTTTCGTAGATTTATTTTGTTAAAGATTGATGATTTATTTCGTTTCAACGTTAACTATTGAGTTTTGTTTCCTTTATTTTGATAAGTTATTTTTCAGGGTTCGTATTTGCACACACATGCTCTGCTCACACACACGCCAGAAACACATTCAACTTGCACTCACTGCTCATACACATGTGTGTGCATAAGTGGAAAACAAACTCTACTCACAGAAAAGTGTGTGCTGTTTGTTATTAAGCACATGCACATGTGTGTGAGCCGATTTTTGTACAAATTTCAGCCCATGCACATGCACATAATATATTCTTAAAAGAATTTGTTTATTAAACGTTATTTTTTGAAAGACAATTCAATAAAAAGTGAGATGTTGTTTGTTTTTTATATGACAGAAAACATATTAAAAAATTATTTTAAGATTTGAGTTAGAATTCGAAGTGTATAAGTTTCTCTACGCATAGCGCACACATGTGCGTGTGCTTTACATTAATAAAAAGAAAGTACACACATGTGCCCGTGCTGTTTACCAAACGGCACACACATGTGATGTGAGCAAATTTTTAATTTTTTATATGCACAGCACACGTGTGTGAGCTTAAAATGTTAGGATGTGCTGCACATGTGTGTGCAAATACGAACCCTGTTATTTTTGCGCATCAACAAAACGAAATCGATTCATATAGTTTGTTGAGCATCTCTGCTTGGAACAGCTGTTTTATATGGTTATGGTTATGTCACCACTAATTTAACCTTTAATTGGATGAAAAGTAGTTAGGCTGTTAATAGATAAGTGCATCAAGTACGAATATAACTGCTGTTACATATAAATAAAAAATGGAGGGTTCAGGAACTATACGGAACCTGTTTACATGTTGTCCTCGACCATACCTACAACTTACACTAGGTTTTGTTATGGGTGTATTTCTTGACTTTTTTGTAGCACGAACTAGTTCAGTAGTAGCAGGGGACTAGTTCGGGCATAGTTGGGGAGTAGTTTCGGCCCAGTTGGGGCTTAGTTTTGGACAAATTCAGGACTATATATATAATATATTCCCAAACTACTCCCCAACATTTCCCAAACTGTTCCCCAAGTAAGCCCGAAATGGTCACTAACTAATTCCGAAATGGTCCTGAATAAGCCCCGTCCTTTAAAACTTAAACAATTTTTTCGCACTCATAATTATTATGACAAGACTTTTATAGGATAGGTCGTAAAATAAGTCTTTGAAGACTTAAAAATATTCATCATTTATTATATAAGTCTTAAAATAATAGTTATCGATGACTTAAACAAATTTTCTCACACATAATTATTATCAAAGTCTTTTATAATTCTTACGAAAATTTGGATGAATTTTTAAAGCTCCACTATGAAATAATTATTATTCCGGGTCTCTGGGACAAATACAATTAATGGCTGAGAATCTAGCCAAATTTCCTGCAGAGTATTTTTAATATGACATTGTGTGTAGATATGTTTTCTGGTAATTTAATCGAGTCAAATTCCCCGCAGGGTATATTTACAGCATACCCGCGATGCAGCGAAACAGAGGTGGCGCCTTCCGCGGACCGCTAATCCTCCCTTTCTCGATTTGACAGCATCCACCCTTTCGCTGACGTAACATTATTATTTTTGAGCACTTGTGATGAATACTAAATATTCATATTGTACCTATTTGCCGAAAAGTTGTACCTAAAAGTAGATACACGTACCTAAACAGAAAACATGTACTTTTATGTGCATATATTTTTGTCACTCTGTGGACTAAATCTTCCATCTGTACCGTAACAACTTTTGGACTTACATGAAACTATATTTTACTACGTTCCAAATGTACCTAAAATAATGTCATTGTACCGAATGTACGTTCAAATTTAGGAAGCTGAAGAGTAGGTACAATCCTACCTAGTTTTACATCACTATTTCGCACCACTGGTTCGCTTCTTCCTCTTCTTCTTCCTCTTCTTCTTCAAAATTATTCTTTACACTCTCCTTCTCAAAATAATGTGACGTCACACCCAGTTGCTCTCAGCTCGATTGGCGCAATCTTGTATTCTATCATTCTTGCAGCATACCAATTTGCCAAACGACGTCGTTTCCCACTCGTTCTGGTGAACAATTTGTCCGCTGGCGACGTTCGAATTTCATATCCGATTAAGAATGTCCGCGATTTAGCTTTCCCTGATTCCATATACATATACACATTTGATGTTGCCTTTTTTAAAATATTTGCCTTTTTTTGGCTTTTCTACCTTTAATTGTAAAGGGCAAGGAAAAGCCCTTATTCCTGATAATATGAAAGTTTTAGCGTTCCATATTTAAATTGGGCTCACTTGTATCAACTCACGTCGAGCGCACGTTTAGTACATTCAAGGCTTTTCTTCGCGAAAAGCGAATGAAAATGCTGCCAGAAAACTTCAAAATTCGTCTAGTGGTTCAATGTTACTACAAGTACAAATTGTTCATATAATGAAACTAGTTCATAGATTTTCTCTTTTTACTTGTAAAATAAGCATTTCTAAAATAAATGTATTTTTTGATTATTATTCGGTTTTGTGATTTCTAGTGCCTTTTTTTGCCTATTTCACCCAACTTCACCAAACCGACATCGTAACGACTTCGATTCGATGAGAAAAAACGAAGTCGGAACGATTTTGCATTCGAATTCACCCAAACGACTACACCAGACCGACGTCGTAACGACGTCGATTCGAACTCGCCCCCGTTCTGTGGCAAATTGGGATTGCATGTAGATATGTTTTCTGGTAATTTAATGCATATGTATTTGTACTGATTCATGTAGTTGGGCATGTGTGTACATGTGTTTGTGGCTGATGTTGGTGCACTCGAAGCGATCTGAAAGATTGATTTCCGCATTCAATAGGCGACTGTGTGTTTTATAATTTAATTTTCAACAATAACTTCAGCTTTTTAAAAGCTTTCATTTAACTTGCTCTGTATGTATGTATGTTTGTATCTTGCAATCAATTTTTGACCAACTTCCCAATAAGCTAGAGAATTTAGTCTTCACAGTTGGCTCATAACCCGATGACAATGCAGTACGAAAGGTGAGTACATAAATTCGATAGGTGACGCAGGAGCCGAGATATTTGAAAAACCCGTATTTATAGTCCGATCATATTTGGAAGGTATATTAACTACATGAAATGGAATAACTCCACTAAAAACGTTGCTGTTAGGTGGTGCAAGAGTCGATATATTTGGTAAACCGATTTCGTTCATATTAAGAAAGCTTGCTTTAAAAATATTTGTTTTTACTGTTAACTTATTTAATCTAACATGTAAGTATGCATGTACATATATTTATATATATGTATGTACATACAAAGTACATCAAAAATTATGCTTGCACCTACAATTCTTACAATAGAATCCTCAGTTTAACGCTTACCTGATTATGACTCGAGAATTTGCGCGTTACTTTATAAAACAATCAAAATTATTTGTAAGATCAGAAATAAATATATTGGTTGGCAACATAGCGATTTATTCCAGTTTATTTTAATTTAGTTTAATTTGATAAATTTTATTTTAATCACATTAAACTTATTTTATTTTATATTAATTTTATTTTGTTTTATACACACATTTTGGTTTTTTGCGCATTTTCAATACGTATACATTTTTCAAAAATATGCTCAGAGCGTGACTTTAGAGATATAAAATAATCCCTGATAAACATTTTTATTGTTTTACGTTCGCGGTTTTCTGATTTTTTTCCAGTAACGGGTGAAAACAATGCCCACACACAAATAGCACACACACTTGTATGTACATACATATGTAGAATAAAAATTTTATAGCATACACATATGCTGTATTCAATTCAATTCATTTTAAAACTTTACGCTTAAAATTTTCACTTTCGAAACTTTGAATCGCGCCCGTCCGTCGATCGTCAAATCGCGTCTCCAACTGAGCTTTAGTTGGGGTAAGTTGCGATCTGATGGCGCCGAACGCCGACATTAACTATGGACATACATATCTACATACATGTGTACTAGTATGGATGTCGGCTTGTTTTGAATTACCTCCCTTTCTGCTGCAGAGATTCGCTGGCTAAAACGCATAAAGCCAGGCATACGTATGAATATGTACATATGTATGTACATTAGACTGCATCATCAAAAAAAGTTGCGTTTTTTCCGCCGGGATTACAAAATTTTGTTATATTTTAGATTTCCACCAAAATATTTCAGATAAATATTAAGATTTACGTGAGCTGAACCGATTTGAAAATACCTCCAAAAATATGAGCTTTTTATGAGTAAAAACATGATACAAAAAAGAAGGTCACTTTTTCGTCGCCATATTAACAACCTGACAATTAAGTAGATTGTGAAATTTCGTGCTACCATACCCAATATCTAAATTCCTCCACATTTTTTTATTATTTTTTTGTTTGTTTATTAACATTGTGTTCTTATACTATGTCTCCATTGAGAGATTTATCCATTAATATTTAATAAATCCAGTTGCTAAATCACAACCGTCTCCATTACCACAACGAGATATGTTTGACGTTCACATTTTTAAATATTTGACGTTTGCTTATGTATGATTTTATAAATACAGTTGCGGACATTGATATACAGACAGATAAAAGGAAGGTACCAAGCGGAATTTCATTATATGAATTCTGAATATTATTGGCTTTTAATTCGTGGTAAATATGTATGTGTAATATATAGTTTGGAATGTGTAAAGAATGGTACCATATTCCGAATAATTTTCCCGAATTTAAGAAAAATTATCAAAACGGTAAAAACATTTGCGGGAAGAAAAATTTGTGTAGAACTCTCTTATTCATAGGAGGGAACCGAAAATCCAATCGTGGGCCTTTGGCATATCATGAATAGGTACGAACTGAGTTCTAGAGGATGTTCGGTGCAATGTTATCGAAGCAGAACCATTACCGAAATTTATACATTTTTTGTCGCAGCGCGTAAATGACTTATAGAAAGCGGAGAAGACTCTGCTTGATATTAATATAAAACGTTTCTTCTAAATTTTTAGTTTTTAAAATAACATTTTCTTAATTTATTACAACCAAAGTTTTGGAAATATGTATTACTAATTTTCCTCCCAAACTAACAAAATATAAAAATCCCTAAAAATACGAAAATTCATGTTTTTATGATAGGCNTTGATATTAATATAAAACGTTTCTTCTAAATTTTTAGTTTTTAAAATAACATTTTCTTAATTTATTACAACCAAAGTTTTGGAAATATGTATTACTAATTTTCCTCCCAAACTAACAAAAATATAAAAANGGAGATTTAACTTAAATCTACTGCCTTTCGAGATTTAATTTTATATGGTAAATCTCAAAAGATTTAACGTCAAATCTCGTCAGAGGGCTAAATCTTCATTAAATCTCACAATGGAGACATAGTATTAGAATTGAAATTTGAACAAGCAAAAGGTATTTTACTTGTACAATAATATTGGGTTATTGGGCCGTATGCAAAAGAACTGAGCAATTGCTTTTTCTTAAAATATATCTTTCACTTAAATTTATTTNATTGAAATTTGAACAAGCAAAAGGTATTTTACTTGTACAATAATATTGGGTTATTGGGCCGTATGCAAAAGAACTGAGCAATTGCTTTTTCTTAAAATATATCTTTCACTTAAATTTATTTGAACAAATTGAGTACAAGGTATGAAATTTTAAGAAAAAGCATTTGCTTAGGTGTGTCCAAACGCTGAACCCAAAGCAAAAAATTTTAGCACACACGTGTGGTCAAACAATTAAACGTTAGTTTAAAATAAAGATTTCAAATTTTTAGATACAAATTTATGAATAAATTCGGTTTAAAATATGGACCTTTTTGTAAAAAATACTGTGGTCAGCGTAGCCGGAGTTGGACTTACATTTTCTTTGTCAAAATGCTAATTTTATTCAATTTTTCAATGAATTTCCCTTCCGTCTCCGCTCCCCACCTCAAAGCCGTTGCATAAATAACCGAACATTTCCCCTTTTGTTTTTGAAAGAGAAGAGGTCTAGTGATCAATAAGATGATAATTGTGTTTCTCTTTTTCATACTAACAATAAATCATCAATGTTGTTTCACACCCCCTCCAATATTGAACAGTAAAATATATTTATTTTTACGCAGAGAAACAACGATATTGTCGAAATATATTAGAATTGCATAATACTCACTTCTCTGACAGTCATGACATAGAAAACTGTAACAGTCGCCAGTACATTGTGAAATATTCAGGTGACATAATGACACTAAACAAATTTTAAAATATGCTCACTAAAATTGTATTAATGTACAAATAAAGATTTTGGCAAGTAGTTATCGAATTTAATGTAAAATTTAAACGTTTTTAAGATAGGATATTAATTATTTTTAAAGGTAAATGTTAATATAACTATTTTATTTATATTCCCAAATTTAGGATAGAAAACCCTTCCACCAAAAAACTTAAATTGGGTAACGCTGCTTCGAATTTTTTACAATTGAGCAAATGAGTAAAAATAGTTTCTTAAGGGATTTAAAAAAAAAACCCTCAGATGACATGACAGTTTAAGCTCTAAAAACCTACATAAAAATATTCAAAAATGTTTTCAACGCAATCATAACACCGCGCGACAGTAAATGTTACACACAAAAAATGAATATATTCGCGAAACTATGGGGAAATTATAGTAAAACTGCGTACCTAGTTGTTCTCTCTGACGCCAGGATTTTTTTTAAAAGGACTTTGAAATTTAAAAAATATTTAAAAATTCGGTGCAATGTCGGATAACAATAAGGGTATCATATAAAAGAAAAAATTCTGTAGAATTATAAGAGAATAAATTTTTTGGTGCATACGGACGAATAGGTATGGAAAATGTCCTTTACAAATTTTTCGCTTAAATATTCTTGAAAATTTGCAATATATATGGGTCATTCCATACAATATTTACACCTCAATATTTTTTTGGGGTGAAATATATTTTTTTACATTCTTTATCGCAAAAAAGGAGTTACCTCATCGTCATGATATTCGAAAATCTCGAAAAAAACATCCCGAAATTTTTAACTCACGGAGAAGTATCTTTTTTTTAAATGTTTGCAGTAAATAAACTATTTCTCAGAGAAAATCAGTTAAGGTACCAAAATGTGCGCAACTACCTCGGGTTTCCATAAGAGAGTGTGATAAAGATTAAAATAAAAAATTAGCTTATTTACAACGGAATAAAAAGGGTGGGAAAATTCCTTTCCAATGATACCTCACTAGTCTTAATCAGTAAAGTTTAGTCTGAGTTATTCAAGTTGTTTTAAACTAGTCGTTGAAAAAAGCATCAAAAATCTCATTGTTATGATTCCCTTGAACATTTTTAAAAATTTTTATGCAAATTTTTGAGACTTAAACTGTTTTGTCACCTGAGGTAATTTTTTGTAAAAATATACTTAAAAAACTGTTTTTATTCTTAAAAAACTCAATGTTTGGAGGTATTTTCAAATCGGTCCAGCTCACGTAAATCTTAATATTTTCCAGAAGTATTTTGGTCTTAAAATTTGATAGAATTTAAAATTCCGGTGCAAAAACAGTATCGATTTTTTTTTTGTATGGGGAGGGATGCAGTCTAATATACCTACATATAAACAAATTTACACTACATACTTTGTATGCGTGATTTAGTAATTTTTTATATTATGAGTACATTGTATGTATGAGCATTAGACCGCGTCGGTACCCAGACGAAAGATACAAGTTTGTAATTGCCCACCCTAGTTTTAAAAACGTCAAGAAGGTTTAGGAGAAAAATAGGCTAAGTCGATTTCTTTATAGTTATTTTTATTTTTAACCAGATGTGATACAGCTGGGTGAAAGGGTACTTTCGATGGCTATAGGTATCTTTAAGATCGTGGAATATACCATCACACGAATAAAGGCGTGATAGTGTTTTGACGGCAAAAAAAGTCGCGTAAAAAAATTTTGCGAAAAAAGATGCTTATGAAAAACTTCGGCGAAGTATGTTAAGAGTCTTTGACGCTAATGTTTTTTTATGCGTCTTTTTTCGCCGTCAACTTTTGAGCTCGCGCCTTTATGTGTCTAGTGACGATATGAACTAGTTTTCCGACCTAGCTAAATCCATTGTGCCAACCCTTAAGAAGTCACTCCAAACTCTGTCTGTTTATGAAGTTAAGCTCGTTCTACAAGATTGTATATATGTAAGTGTGCGCCTACTTCTTCCATCACTTACTAAAGCATTTCATTAAAATCAAATTTGGTTTAAAGAAATGATTTAGTTCTATAGAATCACTTAAAAATGAGGTTTCGAAATAACTTCCAGGGTGATATACCTATGTAAGTACTACCATCGATCGATTTTTGGTCCATGGAAGTCAGTTCAGACATTACTTCCACAGATCTGATTCATGGAACATATGCCAAAAATAAATTCCATGGTAATTTTCTATTAAATGAGTCGCTCATTGCACAAATTGCTTAACTCCACTTTTTAAAAAATCTTAAATTTAAGTGTGTTTTCTTTCAGAAAATGTTGTATGAACTCCAGATAACAAGCTATTCAGCGGAATTCGGAAACTGATAAGGCCACGACTGTTACATTTGTACATTTTTTATATTGGGCTATTGGTACAAAATAAAAAATTTGGACGACATTTTTTTTGTAGTCTCACGATTGGTACTATACAGCGATTACGGACAGTGTTGGAATTTTAGCTATTTTTCGGCTAGATTTAGCTTTTTTATTTGTGTTTAGCCGGAAAAATCCTGTTTTGCTTTTAGGTGTTTTCTTAGTGGTTTCTTAAAATTAGCTTTTTACTTTTGCTCAAAATATTAAATTTAAATAGTGTTAAAATGTTTCTTGGCGATTTTTTGTGTTAGGTATGGAGTGAAAAACAAAGGCAACTGCTGTCCTGTTATTTTACTTCGGCAAGTTCTC